CTGCCTTCCAGACACATTGTCAGGAAGCTGGATTAGAAGCAGAGTAGCCTAGTATTCCAGTACTGAACGAGGCAGCCTAAGTGGTGGCTCGCCCCACTGTGCCATGGTGCTCACCCTGCGTTCACATTCTTGTGCAAGGGATCTCCAGATCCTACATTTACTGAGTACGACTTGCCGTTTGCTCTTCTATGCAACCACTGCCTATTTTTTAAGTAGAAATAATCAATACTGCTTTTTTTCCTCAATTAGGCAAAATAACTTTCCCAAAGACAACATCCCTAATCCATAAGAGAATCTTTCCACTACACCATACAGCCTCCTAAAGGATGCAACTAGGGAGGGACGGAGTGTCATTCTGTGCAGCGTAACAGAGCCCTGACTTCACAGCTGGGATGACACCTCCCGACCCTTGCCCTCTTGGAGTCATGAATTACACATTCTTCCTGGGTAGTTAGCCTCTAGCTGACCAGTAGGACTTCAAGGACCTTTTCTGGTTACCCTCCTTGGTGATTTGCTAACCTTAGCATCTAGGAAATCTATTGGTGTTTCTATTCCTCTATGAGTCAGCACGCTTTGGCTTCATACTGTCTGTTTGTTTCCCCAAGGAAGTAGAGCGCAACCTCCAGGATGCCATGCAGGTGTGCCGCAATGTTCTCCTGGACCCCCAGCTGGTGCCAGGGGGTGGGGCCTCTGAGATGGCTGTGGCCCACGCCTTGACAGAAAAATCCAAGGCCATGACTGGTGTGGAGCAGTGGCCATACAGGGCTGTTGCCCAGGCCCTAGAGGTCATCCCCCGTACCCTGATCCAGAACTGCGGGGCCAGCACCATCCGTCTACTTACCTCTCTTCGGGTGAGTTCCTCTTCATGCTGTTTTGGTGAGGAGGGGAAGGTTCTCTGTTCACCTGTAGTTTGTTCCTTTTCATCTGTGTGTGCTTTCATTGCTGTTTCCATGTCAATCCAGTATTTTTGGTTTAGTTTTTTATCTAATGTTCCTGTTCCCTGCTCACTACTTGAACTCAATCTGCTTGTTTCAACTGCAGGCCAAGCACACCCAGGAGAACTGTGAGACCTGGGGTGTGAATGGTGAGACGGGTACCTTGGTGGACATGAAAGAGCTGGGCATATGGGAGCCCCTGGCTGTGAAGCTGCAGACGTATAAGACAGCAGTGGAAGTAAGGCTCCCGAGGACATGTGCACGCGGTTTATTTTGGGATCACCAGAAACCAGTCTTGAAGGGAGGGGTTACAGAAGACAGAGTATTCCCCAGAGGTCTCCCAAGGCCTTCCGTTTCCCTACTCAGCTGAAGCACACACAGCAGCACGAGCTGCATTGCTCAGGGGGAGCTGCCTTTTAAAGACTGGGAAGAGGCAGGATTCAGAGAAAATGGAAATTCTTTGGGAGGAGCTGGGTGATACTGTCTGAAAGAGAACATGTCTTTTCCCTTCTCTGCTGACCTCTTGGGGGTGTGGTTTTTTCTCCTAGACGGCAGTTCTGCTGCTACGGATCGATGACATCGTCTCAGGTCACAAAAAGAAGGGCGATGACCAAAGCCGGCAAGGTGGGGCTCCTGACGCTAGCCAGGAGTGAGTGGTGCACAGGACAACCTCAACACAGAGAGCCAGCGGAGGCCCCCTCCTGCGCCAGCGTGCCCAGGACACTGGATGTCTTTGTTCGGAAGGGATCAGGTTGAGGGGCAGCCCCCAGGCCCTTTCTGTCCCAGCTCAGTTTGCAAAAGGCACTGACATGTAATTCTCTATTGTAAGCTTTCCATTTAGTTTGCTTCCGATGATTAAATCTAAGTCATTTGAGATAGTTGTTATGTGTTTTTCAACCTTGGTCGTATCTCTGCCTCCTGACAAAAAGGGAGGAGCCAGAAAAGCACACTGAGGAAGAAGGGAGACTGGAGTGAAGTCATTAAGTCTTCTTGATGGGGTTTTTCACATGTCTCAGTCAATTTGTTGGGAAGATCCTTACGGAATTTAAAGGACGACAGTATAAAGCTTTAGGAGCACCCAAGGAACAGGAGGAACCTGTCTAGATGTAGGGTGTTCCCCAGCTGCGATTGTATGTAGAGCAACACCCCGTGTGTGCCAGGGCTCAGGCTTATGTCCAGAAAGACTTAGAGCATCTCTTTTTGTATTTTGTTGTTTCCACCATCTTCCCGACCTTAACCTGTAGCTCCTTTGCTCTACATTCTCCCAGTGTTCTTCCTAATCTATATTTTAATTTGCTAGCATGTTCTCATGCCAGGATTGTGTAACAGTCAGCTCTGTCTTCCCTGCTAGCTGAAACAAAGCATTTGAATCTCATTTTCTGCTGTTTTTACCAAGGGGACAAAGATGAGCAATGTACTGTGTGGGGCCAGCCTTTAATTTATTCGTAGTCTGTCCTTTGGGCTACTGGGCCTTTGTCCCTATGATTCATACATTCAGTCTTATCTCCTCCCTGGCCACAGGACTTAGTCACTTTAAGTTGAAGACTTGGTAGAATGGTAGGTAGCATGTAACAGGTGTGTTCTGAGTGCTTTGTGTATGTTAAACTAATCCTCACAGCAGCCCTGTAAGATGGATAATGTTTTCCCTGTTTTGTGAGGGGGAATCTGAAACAGTGACTTGTCTGAGGGTCACAGAGCTGGTAACTGGCAAGCCTGGAGATCTAGGCAGATCCTCACTTCTTGCCTTCGGGCTGAGAGCAAATGAAGATCTAAGTAGTGTGGCTCTGGAAGCTATGCTGTCAAACAACCTGAGGTGCAGAGTGGACAGAGGCTTGCAAAAGTACAAATAAGCAAAGATCTTAAAGACATTGCTTGGAAGACCAATAAAGGATGGTGATCTAGAGCAAACCAGCTGTACCCTATGAATGGTTTTTTGTTTGTTTGTTTTGTTTTTGTTTTTTTGAGAATTAACACAGAAAGGTCTTCCCATCTACTGGTTCACTCCCCATATGGCCACAACAGCTGGAGCCCTTAATGTCAGCAATAACCATGGGTGTGCCAGTCTAAAACCAAGGGCCCAGAACTTCATTCAGGTCTCCCATGTGGGTGGCATGGGGATAAACACGTGGGCCATGATCTGCTTCCTTGCAGTATACACACCAGAAGCTGAATCAGAAGCTAGGTAATGGCACTTAAACCAAGCACTGTGACGTGGGATGCAGGTATCCCAAATAGCAACCTAACCACCAACTGCTTTCCCAGGCCATAGCAGAGAGCTGTATTGGAAGTGGAGCAGCCAGGCGCCCATATGGGATGCTGGCACAGCAGGCAGTAGCTTTACCTGCTATGCCACAGCGCCAGCCCCAAATTTCTATTAATAAAACCTGCATTCAGCTATGATTCTTGTTAACTTGTTATCAGGTCCCAGACCTTAGAGTGGGGATGGGGAATATCCTTTGATCTGGTATTGCCATGGCAACTGCAGGATGGACTTGAAATTCTTTAAGGGGCAGTGCAGTGGGTAAAGCCACCACCTGCAGTGCCGGCATCCCATATGGGTGCTGGTTCTAGTCCCGGCCGCTCCTCTTCTGATCCAGCTCTCTGCTATGGCCTGAGATAGCGGTGGAGGATGGCTCTTTTCTAAAAAAAAAAAAAAAAAAAATTCAGGCCGGGGCCGCGGCTCTACTGCAGTAGGCTAATCCTCCGCCTTGCGGCGCCGGCACACTGAGTTCTAGTCCCGGTCGGGGCACCGGATTCTGTCCCGGTTGCTCCTCTTCCAGGCCAGCTCTCTGCTGTGGCCCAGGAAGGCAGTGGAAGATGGCCCAAGTCCTTGGGCCCTGCACCAGCATGGGAGACCAGGAGGAAGCACCTGGCTCCTGGCTTCGGATCAGCGGGGTGTGCCAGCCACAGTGGCCATTGAAGGGTGAACCAAGGGTAAAAGGAAGACCTTTCTATCTCTCACTGTCCACTCTGCCTGTCAAAAAAAAATTTTTCAGTGAGAGGACAGTGCAGTGGGTAAAGCCACTGCCTGCAGTGCTGGCATCCTATATGGGTATGGTATAGAACCTATATGGTTCTAGTCCTGGCTGCTCCACTTCCGACTTGAACTCTGCTATGGCCTGGGAAAGCAGTGGAGGAAGACTTGAGTGTTTGGGCCCCTGCACCCACAAGGGAGACCCAGAGGAAGCTCCTGGGTTCAGATTGGCACAGCTCTAGCTGTTGGTGGCCATCTGGGGAGTGAGCCAGTGGATGGAAGATCTCTCTCTGCCTTTTCCTCTTTGTAATTCTGCCTGCCTTTCAGATAAATCTTTAAAAAAAAAAAAAAGTCACTACACCCCATATATATGTACAAAAATAAACTACCAATTTATAAAAAAAAATTTGAGGCCAGCACCTCGGCTCACTAGGTTAATCCTCTGCCTGCGGCACCGGCACACCGGGTTCTGTCCTGGTTGCCCCTCTTCCAGGCCAGCTGTCTGCTGTGGCCCGGGAGTGCAGTGGAGGATGGCCCAAGTGCTTGGGCCCTGCACCCCATGGGAGACCAGGAGGAAGCACTTGGCCCCTGGCTTTGGATCGGCGCCACACAGCGGCCATAGCGGCCATTTTGGGTTGAACCAACAGAAGGAGGACCTTTCTCTGTTTCTCTCACTAACTGCCTGTCAAAAAAAATTATTTTTTAATCTAAAGCAGGCCAACTTTTAGGTTAGTAATTTTGTTACGGCTCACAAATGATGTAAATATCCAAATGGCCCTGGCAGAAGAAAGGTCCCCCAGCCCTGTATTGGAGCACAGCGGTACTTTTTTGCTCAGTAAAAACTTTGAGGAAACAGTTCATCACAGAGTAGCCATTTGAAAGAAGAGAATCAGATTGGATCCCTGCTTCACTGCAGCCCTAGTGATCTGGGCGGCTGAAAGATTCGAGTGCAAGAAAATGAAAATAAAAGCGTATGAGAAAGAAACACGGGATTTAGAATACACCAGTGTGGGAGGGGAGAATACCTAAAAATTTGCATAGCAAGAATATGGGGGAGGGAGGATGTTTGTAACAATAAAGAACTTGCAAAATTGGCAGTTAAGGAAAAAAGGTTCATTTTTAAAATAGGCTAATGGTAGAAATAGCTCCAGAGAAGCGTAAGTTAGTGACTAACACATGAGACTCTTACCCTTACTCATGGGGAAATAGAATCCCAGCTTGGCGAGTACCTGGCAGGTGTACATGGAAGTGAGCCCTCCAGAACGGGCTGTGTCAGGTGCACCTCGGACGTGACGACTCCACTGCTGGGTGTTCATCCTCCAGAACTGGTGATGACGTGAAGTGCTGTGTGTGCTGGGGTGTTCCTTCCAGCATTGTTCACCGCAGCAAAACAGTGCCGGAGCCCTAGGGTTCTGGAGAACAGCCATGAGGCCTCCCCGCAGGGAGAGCGCGGCAACTTGCAGTGCGTTGATGGAGCAGTCCTCAGTATGAGTGAAAAGGGGATGGAAAACCATGTTTGCAGGAGTGCACTTCCAACGTGGGCTGTCTTCAGGAGGAGAGTATAAGCTGGTGATGGTGGTTGTCTTGGGAGAAGCCAGTTTGCTGCGGAAATGGGGATGATAACATTGGATGGATACCTTTTGAATTTTGTTCCACACGTATTCATAAGTCAAATAATGTAAGCCCACCCCCAAAAAAATTACCAACCGACCTCCCTCTTGGGACAATACACACATTGCTTTCAGACTGCATTTTCTGATGTGTCGCTTCACAATGGGACAAAAACCTGCATTCCTGGTGTTAATAAAAAAAAGATTGACAAAAAGAACCGTCTAGGGGACACTGTTGGAATTCCTTCCAATTCCTCTGTGGACCTTCCTACCGGAAAGTGGTATTTTTGGGATCCCATTTGGGCCTCGTGTCCCCAAACGTGCCCCCTTTAGGTAACTGCTCGGTAGGAGAGGCCAGGAGTGCTCATCTCTTAGGAGGTGAGCCAGTGCAGTTGGGGGTTACACACCCTTAATACACAGGAATACTTTAATGTATTTGAAAGGCAGAGAGAGACAGTTCTCCCACCCACCGTTTATTTCTCCAAGTGCCCACAGCAGCTGGGGCTGAGCCAGGCGGAAGCCAGGAATCTGGAGTCAGGAGCCCAATCCAGGTCTCAATGCAGGTTGGTGCGACCCAAGCTGTCACCTGCTGCCTCCCAGTCCGAGTTGAGGGATGCGGCCTCTTTAAGAACTTTCATGGTGGCCCCGCCCTTTAGGGAGGTCAGCTGAATCCAAGTCACATGACTCCGGTGTCTCTCTTCCGCCAGCTGAAGTCGGTGCCGCATGTGCGGCTGTGGGGGGCTGCGCTGGGGCTGGGGGCACAGCGCCCCCAGCCCCATGCTCCTCTTGAGTCTACTTCTGTCTTCAGCCCCGTTCGGCCTGCTCGGGGAGGAGACCCGCCAGGTAAGGGCTCCGGGGCTACAGCCGTAGAGGTGTCAGGAAATGCCTCCCTTGCAGGTGGATGGAATGTGGGGCAGCTGAGGGGTGAGGCTGCAGGGTGGCTGCTGGGTGAGCCAGGTCCAGGCGAGTGCTGGGATTTTGTCTTCCCAGGGTGTCCTGACCTCCCCACCAAGATCGGGGAGCCCTGGTTCTGCCCCTGCACCCTTCCCCACCTTCCTTGTGCCTGGGGTTCCCTTGGCTCCCACACAGTCCTCTCCCTAGCCCTCCACTCCTCCCTGTTCCAGGTGTCTCTTGAGGTCATCCCTGACCAGTCGGGCCCCACTGGGAACCTGCTTCATATCCGGGCAGTAGGCGCCAACTCCACACTGCACTATGTGTGGAGCAGCCTGGGCCCTCCCGCCGTGCTGCTGGTGGCCACCAACACCCCCAACAGCGTCCTGAGTGTCAACTGGAGCCTCCTACTGTCCCCCGAGCCCAACGGTGGCCTGATGGTGCTCCCCAGGGACAGTGTCCAGTTTTCTTCTGGCCTCATCTTTACCAGGGTGAGGAGGTGGGGCAGAACCATGGGGAAGCGAGCTGAGGAGCGAGTTCAGCCCAGTTGGAGCAGGGGTGGAGGGGGGTGGGTGAGGCAGCCTGCTGGTGGGGAGTGAGCAGGGCCAATGCAGGAGAAAGTAAACCGAGGCAAGCCCCATTCCGCCCCTCCCCCAGCTGCTTGAGTTTGACAGCACCAATGTGTCTGATGCGGCAGCAGAGCCCCCGGGGAGACCCTATCCTCCATACCTCTTGGCCGAGTTCTCCTGGAACAACATCACGGACACGCTGGATCTTGCCACCCTGAGCGCCACATTTCAAGGCCACCCCACGTGGGACCCTACCAAGGCCTTCGCCAACGGCAGTCTGGCCTTCAGGGTAAGGGTGCGGGGAACCAGAGGGTGGGAGTTATAGTGACAGGAGCAGCCCTCTGGCACATCCGTCCATCTGCTTCCACGTCTTCCTCATGCTGCCTCCCTCCTAGGTCCAGGCCTTCTCCAGATCGGGCCGGCCCGCCCGCCCGCCTCGCCTCCTGCACACGGCGGACTCCTGCCAGCTAGAGGTGTCTCTGGCTGGGGCCTCTTCCAGGGGAAACCGTTCCCTGTTTGGGCTGGAGGTAGCCACCGTGGGGCAGGGCCTCGACTGCCCCTCAGCGCGGGAGCAACATTCCATCGACGATGAGTATGCACCTGCTGTCTTCCAGGTCAGGCTGCCACGGAGAGGCAGATGCATGGGGAATGCAGCCGGGGCCCCAGTAGGACCTCAGAAAAATTGTTCATTTACCATTGGGCAACAGTGACTTTAAGTGCTGGGCTCTGTGCTAATGAACCTGCCCATCTCTGCCCTCTGGGGAGGCAGGCAAAAGGCAGTGCCGAGTGACTCATGCTTGGCAGGCAGGGATCTGCCAGGACCCGGAGGCCCAGAGGAAGGTGCTGGGTGCAGACTTGCAGGGCTGGCAGAGAGCTCGGTTCGTCTTTCTGCAGGGGGCAGACGGAGGCCCTGGGGGCAAGCAGTTCCAGCACCAGGCCTGGGACCCAGGACTCCTGCTGCCCTTGGCGCAGTGGCTGACACCAGATGGAGGCCGGGAGAGGGGGAGGGAGAGGGGGGCCGGGCCCAGGTTGGTCCTCACCCTGCCTGTCTGCTTTTCTCCACAGCTGGACCAGCTGCTGTGGGGCCCTGTCCCATCAGGCTTCGTGCAGTGGCGACCAGTGGCTTTCTCCCAGAAGCAGGGGGGCCGAGACTCCTCCCTGCCCTGCCAAGCTTCCCCTCTTCACCCCACCTTGGCATACTCTCTCCCCAAGTCACCCATTATCCGAGCTTTCTTTGGGTCCCAGAGCAACCTCTGTGCCTTCAATCTGACCTTTGGGGCTTCCACTGGCCCTGGCTACTGGGACCAAAACTACCTCAGCTGGTGAGAGCCGGGGCCTGGGTGGAGGTGGGGGGTGCCAAGGAGGAGGGCTGAGCCCCGCAGCCTTCTCTCCTGCACCTGCTTAGCCCTCCCCCCTCTGCTCTAGGTCAATGCTCCTGGGCGTGGGCGCCCCTCCAGTGGATACCTTGTCCCCACTCATCTTGGGCATCATGGCAGCAGCCCTGGGCGCGCCAGGGCTCATGCTGCTGGGGGGAGCCCTGGTTCTGCTGCTGCACCACAAGCGGTCCTCAGAGTACCAGTCCATAAACTGAGGCCCCCTCTCTCCTCTTTGCGGGGGGACGTCACTGAGCTGCTCCGCCGTGCCTCGTGTCTCTGGAGCGGAAGGCTCCGTCTCCCACCTGGTCCTTCCCTCGTCCGTCTCGCTGTTCTGCAGAGCCTCAGAGACCAGCCTCCGCCCACCTCAGTGGGGCTTCCGTCACACCTTGGGCCGGGGTTAGGGCCAGGGTGGCTGCTGAGGGGAAGTGGCCCCCAGGCCTTCCAGATGGGACTCACAGGCCTAGGTGAGGGGCCTGCTGGCTGCTTGGCTGCCCTGGAAGGCACAAAATAGACTTCTTTTTCCACAACGCTCCAGTTGCACTGTGTGAGTGATGTTGGACTGAGGCGGGGCCGGTGCCAGGGAGCAGGAGGGCGGCGAGGAGGGCTAGGGAGGTGGGTTCTGGATCAGGCTCCCGCCAGCCTCCCTTTGCTGGAAGACACAGTCATTGTAGACCTAGTAGCAATTTATTGTTATACATATACACACTCACGGGGGTTAACATCAGCCACTGTGCCTTCCAAGCATTCCCACCCCACCATGTGCACACGCGTTCAGACACACACACACACACCTGCTCCTCTTGGGTGGCAGATTTCCCTGGCCCTCCTCTCTTCCCATGGGCGTGGCAGGACTTCTGGGCAGTTTTCGGGGTGGGAAGTTCCAGGGGCCGCTGAGGTTGGAAGGGAGAGAAAGAAGGCAGCAGCTTTGAACTGGGGCCGAACAGTCCAACAGGCTCGTCTTGGACAGACCTGAACCCAGGCCCCCGGGGAGGTCATCCTCAAACCGGAAGTCCTGGCTTGATCTGAAACTCAGCCTCTGTCTTTGGGCATGGCTGAGTATCTCCAGCCTCCTGGAGGCCTTTGGCTGAGAGCCGCGGCGGCACAGGGAGTGCCTGCGAGGGGGAGCAGAGTCCGGGAGCCGCGGAGGGAGGCTGGGCCTCTCCTGCTCGTCCCGGCCAGGCCCTCAGCATCCTAACAGGACAGGCCTGTGCCGAGGAAAAGACTGGCTCCCTCCCTCACGTAGGCGCAAAGTCCGGGCTCGCCGCGCCCGGGCAGGGCAGGGCAGGGCAGGGCAGGGCAGGGCTGGGCTGGGCCGGGCGCCGGGCGGCTCAGCCCCAGGGGCGGGGCCTGTGGTCCGAGGCCGAGCGAGCGTGGTCCGGGTAGTCCAGGCGGCTCTCGGCAGCGGTGAGCATGCGCTCGGGCTCCACCACGAACATGTAGTAGAGGTTCCACACCAGCATGGACAGCAGCGGCAGGAAGGTGAGGCCGTAGCCGAAGCCGCGGAAGGAGCGGCCCACGGCGAAGGTCAGCCAGTAGATCAGCCTGCGGCGGCGAGAAAGGCCCGGGCTAGGAAGAGCGGCGGCTCACCGGCTGCGCTTTATGCGGGTACCAAGTGCCAGTTAGCCAAGGTGCACCAGCTAATTTTGACTTCTCCACACCCCACTGAGATGCCTGTATTATTCCCCTCCCTCTTTTAATTATTTGCTTTTAAGTTTCAATTAAGTTTTTTGTGTGTGCAAGTGGGCGTTTAGCCTAGCAGTTAAGACACACACCCCCAATCGGGGTCAGCGCTGTGGTGTAGCGGGTAAAGCAGCCACTTGCAGTGCCGGTGCCCATATGGGATGCTGGTTCGAGTCCCGGCTGCTCGGCTTCCGTTCCAGCTCTGCTATAGCCTGGGAAAGCAGTAGAGGATGGCCCAAGTCCTTGGGCCCCTGCACTCTGGTGGGAAACTCGGAAGAAGCTCCTGGCTTCGGATCAGCGCAGCTCTGGCCGTTGGGGCTGTCTGGGGAGTGAACCACAGGATGGAAGACTTTCTCCCCTCTCTCTTTCTGCCTCTGCCTCTCTGTAACATTGCCTTTCAAATAAATAAATAAGTAGGTCTTAAAAAAAAAAAAAAAAGACGCCGTCATCACCTATCACAATGCCTGGGTTCAAGTCCCACTTTTGTGCCCTATGCCAGCTTCCTGCTAACACGCACTCGAGAAGGCAGGGGGTGATGGCTCAAGTACTTGGATCCCTGCCATCCACACGGGAGACCTCGCTTGGGTTTCTGGCTCCTCGCTTTGCTTTGTCCCCGCCCCAGCCACTGTGGAACATTCGGAGAGTGAACCAGTGAATGGAAGTCCTCAGGGCTCACTCTGTCTCCCTCCCTGCCTCTCAAATAAATAATTTTTAAGATTTTTGAGTGGACCATATACATAGTTCAAAGGTCAGTAAGTACAGTTAGTACCTTCCTCCCTGTAGTGATCTCTGCCCTATTCTACCCCCTCTCCACCCTAGGCAAGCGATATTAGGTTTCTTGTGCATGGAGTGATTTTTTTTGCATATATGAACAAAATATTTGGTTTTTTTTCCTTTTTTGAATCAGTAGCATATTATATAGACTGTTTTGCATGTTGATTTTCCCTCATTTAATATACTTGTATCTTGGAGATCATTTTATATCCATATATAAACAGTTTCCTCATTCTTTTACAGCTGTAGTGTGGTTCCATGGTAGCTAATTACCCTTTTGCAGGTGAAGAAACTAAGATTCCAAAGGGGTTAAGTAAGACTGGCCCAAACTCACACATCTGGGACATAGCAAAGCCATGATTTGAACCCAAGCCTGTTATCACCCCCTCTCAGGCCTTTTTAGAAGAATGGAAGAAAAGCAGAGAGTAAGGAAACCAGCTTCAAGAGGGTTTCAGGGGCCGGCATTGTGGTGTAGCAGGTAAAGCTGCCAGCTGCAACGCCAGCATCCCATACGGGCGCCAGTTCGAATCCTGGCTGCTCCACTTCCAATCCAGCTCCCTGCTAATAGCCTAGGAAAGCACTGGAAGATGGCCCAAGTGCTTGGGCCCCTGCACCCATGGGAGAGACCCAGATGAAGCTCCTGGCTGCTGGCTTCAGCCTGAGTACTGGCCTTTGTGGTCATCTAGGGAGTAAACCAGAGGATAGAAGATCTCGCTGTCTCTGTCTCCCCTTCTCTCTCTCTCTCTAACTCTGACTTGCTAATCAATCTCAATCAATATTTTTTAATAAAAGAAGAAAGCTTTAAGCTCAGAGGGATGGAGCAGCCAAAAGCAAATCCGCCCTCTTGGAAGATCCACTCAAAGCACACATCGCCCAACGAGGGGAGGGAGAGCAACTTCCTCCGGGTATGTGAAGGGCCAGTTGCTACAAAATTGAGCTGCCTCTGCTTGGTTCACCTGTGGAAGAGGCTGGGCGCGGGGAGAGTGAGTGACGGCACTCTGCTGCGGGAGGCAGCTGGACATCGGAGAGGACAGGCTGAGCCGAGTCTCACTAAATGCATCAGTAAGCGCTCCGTGCGTGAGATCCTTTAATCCTCACAACTCCAACTTAGAGATGAAGACAGACAGCAGATAATCAAGGAACTTGCATGGAGCAGACAGCCCTGAGTGGCAGAGGCAAGGGCTCTGCTTTCCAGCCCTGAGCAACTCTTCTCCCCCAGCCTCTCCTGATTTCTGCTTTCTAAAATGGGAAATGTGGACCCGCCAGTCACCGAGTCTTCCTTAACTCTGACAATTCTCACTGCTTGAGGCCACTTTTGTCTGAGCCCAGTATCCCCCAAGAGTCAGGAAGGGGAGGCTGGATTACACGGGAGGAACATATTTCTCTTGGGAGATCTACGGGGAGAGAAACATTAAGGCCACATGTTGGTCAAGAGGACCATGCAACTATAACCAGAAGCCACAAGAAGACTACTTGTAGCTCAATGAGAATATTTGAGAAGTTAAAGCTGTCTGGAATCCTTTACTGAAAGTAACAAGAGGGGGTCAGCGCCTAGTGGGTTAAGCCGCCGCCTACAGTGTCAGTATCTCTATGAGCAGGGGTTTGTGTCCTGGCTGCTCCACCTCCGACCCAGCTCCCTGCTGTGGCCTGGAAAAACTGGAAGATGGCCCAAGTCCTTGGGCCCCTGCACCCACGAGGGAGACCCGAAAGAAGCTCCTGGCTCCTGGCTTCATACTGGCCCGGCTCTGGCCATTGCAGCCATTTGGGGAGTAAACCAGCAGATGGAAGATTTCTCTCTTTCTAACTCTAACTCTTTCTCTCTCTAAATCTGCCTTTCAAATAAATCTTTAATTAAAAAGAAAAGGAAGTAATGGGAGGAAATGTATTAGGGAAAAATGGAAAGAGCGCATCTGGGTTCAGAAATTCACATGAAAATACTCCCGGAGGATTTCAGGCAACTGCAAACTGAGTGAGAGGAGAATAATTCCGCTGTGAGAGCTAAGGTGGCCTCGTCTGTATGAAGAGGACCCTTGGCCAGGGAAGCGTCTCCTGCCCAGAGGGAGGGGCCTGGACAATGAAGGGACCGCGATCACTTAGCAAAGTAGAGATGGCGGGTGGGGAGCAGAGTGTTAGAGTGGGGAGAACTGCGAAGTGTCTGTCCTGGAGATCAGAGTCAGGATAGAAATTTCTAACACATTATAAAAAAAAAAAAGTTCTAACAATTAGGGATTTCAAAAACCAAAACATATCGCTTTATAAAGAATGGAGCACTTATCACAGTAGGCATTCAGCTAGAAGCCAAAAAAACTGCGTGACCAGAGTACTACAGAGGAGTGGCTGTAATGGGCCCGCTGATTTCTGTGACACTTAAAAGCCTTCCAGTTCCATGCTGGCATGTCGCATCTCTGAAATCAGCTTCCTACCTCCCGGCAGACACAGGAGCTGCCCACCTGCCCCCAGGTGAGTCCGGTGCAGGAGAGTAAGTGAACTCATCTCTCCAGGACACACGCGGGCCGCTCCAGAACCCAGAAAAGCCGCTCTCCAGATATTCGGGTGCCTGGATCTGGCGCATCACCCTCCTTCCCCCACCCCACTTACCGAGAGACGGCGAAGAGGCCGGTGAGCAGAGGGAGCAGCTTGAGGGTGTCCTGGGGCAGGTAGGTGGAGAGCACGGCCAGGTTGAAGAAGTACAGGATGAAGAGCTGGACCGACTGGGCCACGTATCTCCGGTGGATCTCCACCTCCCGCCGGGGCTCTCCAAAGGGCCGTAGGGCAGAAAAGCACAACAGGCTCAGCCCGTACACCAGGAGCCCTGGGTGGGGTCAGGAAACACACGGGGTCAAAACAGGCAGGAGGCAGGCACACAGAGTGGGGGTGGGGGAGGCCCTGGCGGGACCAGGCTGAACGAGGGGCGCTCACCTGCTCCCCAAGCCCCAGCAGGCCCTGCCCTTCTGAAGTCCACTCTCCAGGTGCCCCCTTTCTTGTCACAGGGGCCCCAGACTCACCCAGCACGATGGGGAAGGTGGCAAAGACCCCGCAGCGCAGTGTGTAGACCAGGCGGGAGCTCAGGGTGGGCAGCCGTGGGGCGTCGAAGGGCAGGAAGGCGTAGGCTCCGTACAGCAGGCACGGGAAGAGGACGAGGGCGGCTCCCACCGAGGCCACAGCCCTCAGCCCCTCACGGCCTCCGCAGCTTCCGCAGCTCCCGCAGGAGCGGCTGGGGGGCCTCACCACGGCCTCGGCCCACTTGCACTCGGGGGGCTCAATGTGGGGGAGCCGGGGGGGCAGGAAGGACCGACGCTCGCCCTCGCCCGCCTCGCAGCGCACGATGAGGTCCTCCTGGGGCCGCCGCTCGATGCACTGCAGGTCGATGGGCACGAAGGCCCGGGCAGCCTTGGCAGGCAGCAGGTTGGCATCATCCTCAGGCAGCCCCTCGGGCCTGACGGGCAGCTCGGGCTCGAGCGGCTCTGACTCCACGTCCCTCCAGCCGGGAGGGTCTGGGAAGGGCGCAGTGGGCTGGGGGTCGGTGCCCCAGGGCAAGGTGGCGGCCTCGCTCACTGTGCTGTCCAGGCCATCCTCGGTGGCCTCTCTGGCTGAGGCAGAGCCAGCTGAAGACTCCACTTGGAGGGACCCGCCTTCAGGGGACTCGGCCCCGCCTCCCCCTTCTGGCTGCCGGCCATTGGGAACCAGGTCCTGGGGTGGGCTCTTCTCCGGGGCCTCAGGCCTCTTCACTTCCAGCAGGGCCAGGGTCTCAGGCTCTGTCATGCTGGGGCTTCAGTTCTGGGGTCCAGCCTAAGGTCCCGTCATCCTGGAGGGAGCAGGGCAAAAGCTCTCTCAGGCCCCTAGGACGGGGCCACAGAACTGGAACTTCCGGGGCTCCTCTGGCCCCGTCTGGGACCTCGGGGAGAACATGGTTCAGAGGTTGGTGTTGAAACCGAGGGAGGTGGGAGGGAGCTGAAGTGGAGGCACGCTTTCAACATCTTCAGATGCATCCGGGCACGCAAGGGTGAGTCAGGGCACAGGCTCCAGCAGCTCTGGCCTCGGTCAGCCCCCACCCATGCCTCCTACCCACTTCCACCAAAACCCCCGGAGTCCCAGATACCATAATTCAGGAATGGGCAGCAGAGAAGGTGTCTAGATTTTTGCCAACAGCTTCTTTCTCCCCGGAGATCCTTCCTGTGGACAACACCACAGCCCCTCCCCCAGCCCATCTGCCCTTCTCCCTGCAGACCCTGCTGGGGACTCCCCCGGCAAGTAGGAGTCACTGTCGACCCATCTGTCCCAAGGAGCTGGCAGTTGCCAGCACCAGTTCTTGCGTCTCCGATCTGAACGTGTGGCCAGCCTCCAATCTTCTCACCATCCCACCTCATGCCGGCAGCCCCCGGGTCTGTCCGTTCTTTGGGGTTGAATCATGGCTGATTCCCACGCCTTCCCTCCTGCCTACCACCCCTCACTGCCACCCTCTATCTCACTGCTTCTGGACGGGGCCGACTCCCCTTCCTTCCCTCCCCAAGGGCCCCCCCCCTCGCCACGCCATTTGGAGCCATGACACCCCCTTACTTTCTGTCGGGAGAGAGGTGGAGGGTCCCCAGCGTCCAGTCCAGGAAGCAACTGCCCAGCTCCGTGCTGGCTCTGCAAGTATTTCTCTGTCTCCCTCCCTTTACCTGTGTCTCCAAACCTGTCTGACCAGAGCAGGTGGGGCCCAGATTAAAGGGGCAGGCCCCGCCCTGCTGAATGTGCCGACAGAAAAAGCTTTAGAGGAGGACGTTGTCCTTTCCAAGCGTGGCGCGGGGGTGCAGCCACGCATAGAGGTGAGTTTGTGTTCCAGGCACCCGGGATGTGTGAGGCGCCCTGGTCAGGAAAGCAGAGGAAGAAGAGCAGCTTTGTGCACCAAACGGTGCTTGGAGTGGGTTGGTTAAAGCCAGAAAAGAGTTGGATTGTGTACATTTACTCAATCAAAGAATATTTATTGAGTACCTGTTATTAGCTAGGCTCTGTACGAGGTACAGACAGACACACGAAGACAAGTGACGTCAAGAGCTCTGCCCTTGAGAAACTTACATTCTTTAAGGGTACCAGGTGATAGGGAAGCCTAGCAACTAAAGGCTTTCTTAGCAGAAGAAACTTCTGTGATAAGATGACACTGGAGCTGAGACCTCATGGATGACGAGTGTTCCAAGCGGAACAGCAAGTGGGAAGGACTTGGCTGTGTCAGGGACAGAAGGAAGGCTGGTGGCTGGAGCCCGGAGCACCGTGACAGAGAGGGCAGTTCACGTTCCCATCGCACGGTGTGCACAGGCACCAGAACGCCTTTCTTTTCAGATTAGGTTTCAAGTTAAGAGAACATAGTCCCAGTGTCATCGGTGCTCTTTCCAGTGTGAGCAGACGGAACCCAAGCCCCTGGGCGGTGCCCCTGGTGCAGATGCTGCACGCCGTCAGCATCATCAGAGCCTGCCTACCGTGGTCTTCCAGGCTCCTTTCCTAACTGCCCTTATGATTACAAATCAAGTTCACTGAATTGGTGCAGCAATTCAGGGTCCGGGATCAAAAGACTCATGGGATCATTTATGGCCTCTGCAGATAACATCTTGGTGTTCAGTCTTGAGAGTTTTCCTAGGAACCCTGGCTCCAAGCAAGAAGTAACTACCACCTGAGTGACTGGAATTCCCAAGAGAAGGTGGCATCGCTAACCAATCAAAGGAGAGCCATGAGCACTGAGGACCGACCAGGGACCTGCACACAAGCCCAACATGCACCTCTTTAACCCCAACTTCAGTCTTGCAGAACCTTTACCCTCAGCCCCCGAGGAGTCTGGGAATGAAGTGGTAGCTGCCCTGCTCCTTAATCTGCACTTTACACCAAACACGCCCTGTCCTCCACCACCTGGTGTCAGTAATTGGCTTGCTGAGTGTCGGGTAAGCAGACCCAGTTTGGGGGCTTCCAGAGCAATTCCTCCAACCTATCCTGTGTTCTATGTTCTAGGACAAGATCTTACCCCTCAAGGCATTTGAGCTTTCTGAGTGCAGGGACGGTGTCCATACTGCTTATCTCTGTCACCAGAACTCAGTACGGTAGCTGGAAGACAGCAGATATTCGACAAATGCTTGCTGGACTGGTGTGAGATGGATATGCAAGCTGGACATGTTTGGCAGGACGAGCCGAAGGGCTGAAGCAAGAGTCCCGTCTTCCCAGGTGATGCCCCGCCCTGTCCAACGACACTTTCGCATATACTTCTTTTTAAGTTATGGAATAAAGGGAGAATAGGAGTCATTCTAGCCGTTAATACGAAAGTAGCCTGGCCCAAATAGGAGTGGGCGGGGGGAGGGACAGAACGATGGCCCAAATGACCACTGTGGGAGCACAAAGCAAAGTCATGCTCCCAGCTGTGAGCCAGCTTACCCCGACGTAGTGGGGCTGTAGCCGCCTCACTTGGGCCCCTGTCTGTTCTCCGGCAGCTTTGTCAATAAAGTTTCTCGTAAGGACTTGGAGAAGCCGGAAAGAGGTCATGCTGCCCGTAGTTAGTTCGGGCTACTTCCCGGGAGGGAAAACGAGTTTCGCGAGATTTGGTAGCAGTAGGCTACTGGCCCGCAGCAGCGCGGCTGCTATCGCGAGATTTGGCAGCTGGAGGAGGGGCTGTCGCGGGCAGCCGCCTCACAGCGATGGCGGCCGAGCAGGGCCGGCGGCGGTGGCGGCAGCGGCTACGGCCGGAGACGGCAGTGGTGGCGGTAGTGGTGGGTGGCGGGGGCCTGTGACCGGGAGCCGTCCCCGGACCCGGGCACCATGAGCCAAGGCCCCCCCACGGGGGAGAGCAGCGAGCCCGAAGCAAAGGTCCTCCACACTAAGCGGCTTTACCGGTGAGAGGGGCCGGGGCGTGAGTGCAGCCCCAGAGGGAAGTGGCGGGGGGGGGGGGGGAGGGGCGGGGCCTCCCGGGCGGGCGGGGCCGAGCTGCCGGTCTGGGGTGCGGGCCCGGAAGGACCCTGCTCATTTTGGAGGGAGCAGGTGGGGGCGGGGCCCGTAACCCGGGGTGGAGTCGAAAGGCGGAATTGGGTGGGTGGGAGGTTTGGAGGGAAGCACGTGGAGCGCTCCCCTGGCACTGAGCTTGCGGCGGGCCGGAGGCTTTGCAAAGTTGGGGCGATAGGGTGGGAATTGGGGCTGAGGGTGAGGGTGATGGGGGGGGTCACAGGTGGCGAAAACCCGGGAGGGAATGGTGCTTGGAATTCTGTAGGAGTTACAGGGAAGAGTGCTGGGCTGAGCCAGGTTCGGATCCTTGCTTTGCCGCTCTGTCACTGCGTGACCTTGGGCCTCAGTTTCCTTGTCCTTAAAAGGAGAGATCTGGATTAGATACGCCCTGAAGCCCCATAGGCCTCTAATTTAGGGGAGTCTGAATGAGAAGAGAGTGGCTGGAAGACAGACTGTGTTGACCTGGAAGAACCATGGAAACCAGAGTGTTCTGAGGGCGCGGGAATGCATTTCCGGGCACCTGGGGACTTGCTTCCGGGCTAGCCTTATGACTACAGTCTTGCCAGGCAGCCTGCATTCCTGGTGTCTGATTTCCCCAGTGCCACCTACACTGGAGTCACGTCTTCAGCCCTCTTTTGGGAACGGCCATTAAAAGCTCTTCCCACCCTGTGTGGGTTGGGGTATGTGTGTGTAGGTCATTTGGGACATGGGCCCCAGCACTGGATCTCAGTGAGATGGAGCGTAGAAAGCAAGCTGAGTTTTCTTTCTTTTGCTTGGAAGTCGGTTTTAGGGTTCCCATGTAGCCTAGGCTCTGTGGAACAGGGGGTGTTTGCATGAGAAGACCCCCTCCCTTGGAGCCGAGTCCTGGGCCTCATCTTGGCATTGAAAGAGTCAAGAGCGGGTTGTCTTTTTCTCCTTGAAAAGGCATTCTGCCTGCTCTGGCTGTGCAAGCCAGAAGGCAGAGGGGAGTATAGGCCGCTCCAAAAATAGAAAAGTGATCCAAGCCAGCAGCCCCTGGGCTCCCGGTGTGGGCGGCCCCACGCAGTCCCCAGGGGGGTGAGGAGTTCTGAGAGTGGCACGCGTGCCTCATGCTGCCTGTCAGACAGCGTGGGCAGTGTCTGCAGCGTTCCTTATTTGTCTCCAGCTTGGGGGATGGCCCTGGTCATCCTTCAGTTCTTCTCGAATCTAGCTCTTTCCCAAACCACGACCTTCACAGGACTGGCTGCAGCTGGTGTGTGTGTGCGTGAGGCTTGCCTGTGTGCCCTTGGGTGGTATATGCCTGAGACTGTGTGCTGTTGACTCTGAGCAGGGTGGAAATTTGAGCTGGTCTCAGTTGTCATTATTGATGATAGCAGTGGTGATTGGTGGAAGAAACTGGGAGGCAGGTCTGATTTCTCTGTCTAAAATGAGTGGTGTTAGACTGTGGGTCTGTTACTGCGGGCTTCAGCAAGTCTGGGGGACTCCTACCCCGAGCAGTTTGTAGGTAGGACGTCCTGAAGTGGTGTACACCTGTCAGAAGAAAGGAAGCAGAAGAGATGCTGGAAGGGACACGAGCACGGTTCATTTATTATGTCCGTTACCTAGTTGTTTGTTTTCTAAAGCATTTTACATCTTTGACATTATGCTAGGCAGGAGGTTATAGTGAGGAAGGAGACAAAAATTAAGTTTTCATTCTAAAGGAGATACAGTTTAAGAGCTCAGTTTGACAGAGGATACAGAAATAATGGTGAGTGCCCTCAGATTGAAGGGTTTGTGGTTAGAACTTCCCAGAGTATTGGTTATTAGCCTTTTTTGGGTTTATCATAAAAATACACACACTCCCACTGAAGTTCAAAGCCCTGCCCTCGGGACCAAGCTGACATGGAGCAAATGACTGATGCTGCCCTGGCCCTCACGGCCAGGCTGGCTGGCAGGGCCGTGGGGAGCTAAGATCTCCAGGGGGCTTGCAAGAAGGCTGTGATGCCATCCCACGCTCCTGGCCACATAGGGCAGCTCTGAGTGGTGTGCTTAGCGCCTGAGCCCCCTCTGCCCCCAGGTGCCAGCCTGCTGTGCGCCACTTTCCCGGGAGCACAGCCAGGTTTGTCCTGGGATTCGGCGTTCCCTGTTACTTGGCTGCTTTTTCGCCTGTTCTCCCAGCTGCTGCCTGGCGTCCTCGCCCACCTCTGGGACGTCTGGGCTCTCCATCGTGGAGTTCCCATGGCTGTTCTTAGCTGTGGCTGAGTCTCCCGTTTGGTCTTACGGCAGGAAGCTTGGAGACTAACGCTTTTTGAACTATTGCTTTGTGCCAGCCACTGTCACAAGTGCTTTATGTATTAGGTAACGTAATCCTTACAAGGCAGCCGATAATAATACTCTCATTTTAGAGTTGGGTAGACTGGGACATAAGGAGGTGAGATATTTTTCCTAGAGTCACATCGCTGGCTAGAGTAGAGCTAGGATTTGAACCCAGGCAGTGTGGTTCCTAGTCTGCTGTCTTAATCACTTTGCTAAACAAACAGCTCCTTCAGCAGAATCCAGGAGCATTTACAGCTGAGCAACTCAGTAGCCACCTCTACTTGCCCATACCCCATAATTCCAAAGCAGAATTTTTTTGTAATTTTTTTTTTTTATGTATTTGAAAGGCAGAGAGGTAGAGGCGGAGAGATAAAGAGAAGGAGAGAGAAGACTTCCATTTGTTGGCTCAACGCAACCACCAGAGCTGAGCTGGAGCCAGGAGCTTCTTCCTGGTCTCCCATGCAGGTGCAGGGGC